CGTGCTTGTCTGTCCACGGAGTCGGGTTTGGCTCCGGCGTCGGTTGGTTCCTACGGAGACTTCCCTTCCGCCTCTTGCATTCCTTGGGTTCCTCTGGGGATCTGGTGTTGATGCTGCATCACCAGCTTCCTCTTTGGGGTTTTCGGGGTTCCGTGCCTTGGCACCTCCCCGAGCCTTCGCTCGATGTGTTCACGGACGGGTCGTCTCTCGGCTGGGGCTTTGTGACCTGTGCTCACCAGGTCGGCCGAGGTTGATGGAGTCTGTCTGTCCGTCGGGCTCTCAGCCCGGTTCAGGTGTTCATGGCTGTCTGGTTTGCGCTTCGGAGGGTTTGGGTCACTAGGTGCTCTACCATTCAGCTCTGTTTGGACTGTTCTCTGGTGGTTCTTGCCGGAACCACAGGGGGTTTGGTTAACCGTGTGGTTCGTGTCCGGAGTGTGTCCTGCGTCCTGGTGGACAGCTGTCTCGGTTCTTTCCTCTTCGTGGGTTGGCCAGTCGTCGCCGATTCGTTTTGTTGGCTCTGTTGGGCTTATGGACTCCTGGCCATGGACGTCTTCGGGTCGGCGTGGTCTAGGCGTCGCCCGTTTTGTGGCGCCCTTCCCACCTGCGAGGACTTCACGGTGGAGGCTTTCGGCAGGCCTGGTACTGCCTGCCGAAAGGTGGGGGGTACTTGTACCTCTTCTCCCGGTCCAGCTGTTGCTTCGGGTTCTGGCTCGGTTGCAGCCCATTCCCACGAGAACAGTCCTTATGGTTCCATGGTGGCCGGCCCGGCCTTCTTTTCAGCCGCTGCTTGATAGGTGTCCGTACCCGGGGCGTTTTTCCTGAGGCTTCGCCTTTTTCAGCGGGCCGCATCGGTCCTATCCGTGACTGGTTCGGCCTTCTCTTTGGCTCTTCGCGGCTGGTATTTTGACGCAGGTCTCACCATTTCTATGGTGTTCAGGTGGCTTTGTTGACGGTGTCCCACCTGCGAGCTTCGTCTTGGAGACAGTATGACGTTTATTACGTTTTCTCGCGTTTTGTTTACTCTCCGGCCTGCTCATGAGTCGCCTGAGCCATCCTGGTCTTTGTTCAGGGTGCCTTCTTATCTTCCCCTCAGTTTGTGGTAGCCCCTTCGGTTTCAGTTTCCTCCTCTTTGGTACTGGTGGTAGCTTTCTTGGTGTGCAGCCTTTCTCTGTCCTGGCGACGGTCGAGACGGCTGCTTTCCGGAGGAGTTCTTGGGGTATTGGTATTTGTTGGGTTTGGCCGGGGTGTGCGTCCTGTGTTGTCCGGTTGTGCTTTTTGCTGTTGCCGGTGTACCGTGCCTGGGGATGCGCTGTGGTTGATCCGTTTCCTTCGTTCCCTGTTTTCAGGGCTTGGGTCTCCCAGGTCGTCCGCAGTGTTTTCCTTCTTCCTGCGGTCTGTCTTTGCGCCCATGCTGTTCAGACGTTTGCAGCATTTGCTGCTGTGTTGGTGACGTCTCGGGCGCAGGGATTTGTGGGTCGCCCAGGTTTTTGGCCGCCCATCCATATGTGCGTCTGTGCTTGGGCGTTCTTGTTGCCTTGGGTCGCAGGTTTGCGACCGGTTGTCTTGGCTTTGCGTTGCAGAGTTTGTGGCGGCCGCCTCCCGGGTTAGCCCTTTCTTTTCCTTCTCTTTGGGTATGAAGCTCCAGGGAGCCGTAGGGGCTCCCCACAGAAAACCAGCGTTGAATGTAATGAAACGCCATTTTCTGGGTGAGCCCCGGAGGCTCCCTGGAAACCCTCCCTCCCACCGGTCTGCAGTTTTTTCGCGTTGGTTGAAGCTTAGCTTCCGAACTGGAGCTTGGCAGCCGGCGCGGTAGGTCCGGGGCTCCCCCCTCCCCCTCCCGGGGTGGGGAGGGCTGCGCGGACGATCGGCGCGGCAGTAAAGTGTGATGTTTGCTTGTTTGCTTGTTTCCTTGGGATTGTAGGGAGTTTTTTACACCTCTGTTCGGTTTTTGTTGTAGTTTCTTACCATGTGGGGTTTGTTTTGTTACGCCTACCTTTCTGGGTGCCTAACCCCGGTCGATGGCAGATAAGGAAAACCCCCAACCATATGGGGTTTTCCAGGGCCATTGCTCCCTGAAACCTCTCTGAAGGGGCCAGGTTCTGGCGCTGGTCCCTGGTAGGTCTGAACTCCTTAGCTAATGTCCCGGTCTAACATAACATACATTAGCCCGATAAGCTCCATGGAGCCTCCGGGGCTCACCCAGAAAATGGCGTTTCATTACATTCAACGCTGTTTTTTTTTTTTTTTTTTTTTTTTTTTTGAGATATATACAAGAGTTGTTACATTCTTGTACAGCCACTAGTACGCGTAGCGTTTCGGGCAAGTCCTTAATCCTATGGTCCCTGGAATACGATCCCCTGCCGCGAAGAATCGTTTTTTCATCCAAGTACCCATTTTACTGTTGCGTTAAACAGAGGCTACAGTTAAGGAATTGGCCCAGTAAATCCTCCCCGGCCAGGATACGAACCCATAACATAGCGCTCGCGGAACGCCAGGCGAGTGTCTTACCACTACACCACGGAGACTGTTTCAGGCGCTGCTTGCTTAGTGTCCAAACCCGGAGAGTTTTCTGTGGTTCCTCCTCTTTCAGCGGATCAGGCAGGTGAGGTACCTTACTAGTTCTCTGTACTCTTCTGCACTTCGTGTCTGGTATTTCTGACACAAGAGTACCATCATCTGTGTTGTGATCAGGTGGCTTCTCAAATGGTGTCCCACCTGCAGTCTTCTTCTCAGTGACAGTATTAAGTCTCTTGGCGGTCTTTTTGCCACTTCCTTTCCTGTCGTAGGTTGTCTTCGGTTTTGGATTGTGTTCTTTTGTCTTTACTTTCTTGGCTCTTTCAGGACAGGCATCTTGAGCAGAATACTGTCGCCTTGTTTCGTGCAACACTGGCGGATGCTCCAGCATGCGTTCAGGGTGGATGTAACTTCTGCTTCATTTTGTGGTGGCCTGTTTGGTCCATGACTTCTTTCACAAGGTTTTGTTTTTGTTGGCTTTTGCCTCTGAGAGTTGGGATGCGGAGCTTCATGCTCTCTTCTGGCACAGGGGCTTCTGCGCTTTTGGTCCTGGTGGACATATTGTTCGCTTGCAGCAATCTCCTTTTCTGCCGAAGAATGAGACGGCGGGATTCTGGAGGGGTCCGTGAGTTATCGATGCTTGGTTGGTCAGGCCAGGGGTGCATCATGTGTTGTGTCCAGTTGTGACTTTCCACCGTTACCTGCGTGCCTCAGGCTTTCTGTCTAGGGACACTCTGGGTTGACCCAGTATCTCTCTTTCCCTTTTCCAGGACTCTGGTCTCTCAGGTCATCAGCAGGGTCATTACATCTAGCCAACCTGCAGTCTACCCTCGCGCCCATGATGTTTGGAAGTTTGCAGCTCTTGCTGCTTTGCTTGGGAACATGTCTTGGGCTGACATTCAGGCATGGGGGTTTGGAGGTCAAACAGGGTGCTGGCTGCCCGTTATCTCCATAATGTCGAGATAATGTCTCCCGGGCCCTCAGTGGTCTTGTTACCTTGGGTCGGTGGTTGCAGTCAGTTGTCTCGTCTTTATCATGGTCATGCGGTGCAGTCGCCTCCCGGGCGAGTCCTTCTTTATACCGCTTTTTGGGTAGCTAGCTCCAAGGAGCCAACAGGACTCCCCACAGAAAACCAGCGTTGAATGTAATGAAACGCCATTTTCTAGGTGAGTCCCGGAGACTCCCTGGCACCCTTCCTCCCTCCAGTTGGTGGTTTTTGTTTCCGTTTGCTCAGTTTCCAAACTGGGGACTGACGACCGGCTTAAGTGGGGTGGGGCCGGCACGAACGAGCAGTGCGTTAGGATGATGACAGTCTGCTTTTCTTGTTTTTCTTGGGGGGGGGGGTAGATTTTAGCCTCTTTTGGTCTCAGGTTGCAATTTTCTACCAATTGAAGTCTGTTTTGGGGCACCTACCTTTCTGGGTGCCCAGCCACGATCAATGACACATGATTATACTCCCACAGAGTGAAGTTTTCATAGGTCATTGCTCCCTTCACCTCTCTTAGGGGAACCATGTTCTGGTTAGTGGTTCCCAGTAGGCATGACAACTCCATATGACTGAAACCCAGTACTAATATAGCTAATATCAGTCCAATAGCTCCAGGAAGCCTCCAGGACTCGCCCAGAAAATGGCATTTCATTACATTCAACGTTGGTTTTTTAACATGTCAACCAACCCATAATACAATATTAGTGATAATATGAAAATAAAGTGCCAACGTTTCAGTATGTTCAGGACAGACCGAAATGTTGGTACTCTCATTTCACATGTGGTTGTGTTGTTTGTCATGTTATTGTGACTTATTCTCTGCATATTTTTAACATTAAAATTTGTATTGTCCACTATCTTATTTGCTAGCAATTATAATTCTCAGATTTATTTTCTATTCATTATTCTGATATAGTGTTCAGTAACTTAGGATCTCCAAAATCTGAACATCAAAAATAATAGATGTTGTGCCATACATAAAAAGGTACATCTAAATAACAAACCAGTTTTGCTACTGGATTGCCCATCAATTTTTTTTTTTTTAGTTTGTAATTTATAACATTTGTGATAAAGTTGAGATAAATGCCTAAGAGTAATTTACTGCAAATGATATTTTTCTTACATTTGATATTTTTGAGTGTTTATTAGTAAACATTTTTCTGTGGGAGCCTCCGGGGGCTCCCCAGAAAATGGCATTTCATTACATTCAACGCTGGTTTTTTACATTTTATTTTAATTCAGAAATATTTTCCTTTGTACAATTCTTTGTTATGTGCTCTATTATACTGTTAATGCACACACATTGATTGTGGGGTAGGACTCCGAGAACAGTAATTTGCATATCGGGCTTTCTAACCCTTTCATTATGTTACTGTATTTTGATTCTTTAAAACAATGTCAAGATATCTAGATTTTTATAATAAAAGTACAGTATGTTAAAAATCTACTTTGTAGAAATATTACTTAATATTTTGGCATTACATTATTTCCTTTGCAGCATGACCCCACTAGGAAAATACAAAAAGAAAAATGTAGTATTAGAGCTGCCCGGAGACCTGACAGTGTTCACAATAGACTGGCTGTCCCTGTATGATATACAGCAAGAGAGGGTGTTAGGATCCATTATTATCCCAGAAGAGCTCAATGTTCCTCCTTCACTTGTCCAAGTCATTGTAAGTATAGCAGCCGTAAATTATATATTATCATAATCTCTATTTGTATGTAATATACAGTGTATTTAATATATATTAATTATTATGGTTAACTTTTTTGTTTACAAATCATAAATATATTCTTAAGTTCAGTAATATTATTATTAAAGCTAATGTAACCATGGGTTTATCTATTTCAGCCACATGAAAACAGTATGCCAAACTGCGAACAGATGTTTAAAGATCTGCAGGTGTCATGGGAGGTGTTTGGTGACCAGGTCACCATGGAACTTGCTGCACAAGTTGGTAAGGATAGTCTATTACATGCATTACACACTAGACTGCTTAACTTTCATCTAAGTAAAGGCACCATTTAAATTTTGTTCCGAAGAGTTAGTTTATTTGGCAGCATTACTCATCCTGTGAGTGAACATAGCAGCATGTACAACACTCTCCAATAGGAAGAAAACTCGCTGGGTTGTTCATCCTGTTATGTTGCTGGAATTTAACTGTCGCTAGTGAACACTGTTGTCAAACAAGGGTTTGACAACCCTCAACCCTCAAGTTCATTTTCTTGCAGGTGTAAAGGGGAAGGGAATTTTTTAAGGACAGTATCTATATATGACAAAAAATGCTTTCCTAACTCAATGTGGAATATATTATACTAAATACAGTTTTGTCAACGAACAAACTCGCACTAGAAAAACCATATGAATGTTTTTTAAAAACTGCTTCAATATGAATAGAAAATTCATTTCAGACTTGTGATATGTTAATATCAGACTTGTGATATGTTAATATCAGACTTGTGATATGTTAATATCACACATCTGCAAGCTCATGGAGAGAATCCTAAGGGAGGGAATCATCCAACATCTCGCTGAGAACAATCTTGTAAAATCAACATGTTATGAATGATTGCTTGCCTTGTTGGGTTAATATCAAGGTAAGGGAATACAATCAATGGGGCTAGGCAAGGCCCAGCCCCCAGGGAAACAATTCCCAGCACAAAGATAAGTATAGTACTGTATTACCAAATATGGTCTGTCATCTAGTGTGATCACCTACATCACTACAATAAGGGTGATAGAAACTCCCACTTACAATTAACTTAATATAATATTTATTAACCCTAAATCCCCCAAAGTACAATACTGTAATTACTTTACCTCCTCGATCTTATGTTATCTCTCTGAATCCACATAGACAGGAGAGGAGAATTACAAACAGCAAACTAGAGGTAAAGTCTACTTTCCTGAAGGGACAGTACACAATACTTAATAACTGCAACGCATGGTCACTAGACCACACCAGATAGGCAAACAATTGGGGCTCAAACACTGACCTACTGAACACACAACAGCTACACTTAGAACAACTAATGGCACGATATCGGTAGAGTAATGTACTTTACTGGTATGGTAAAGATTAAGAAGGGAAGAGAGTGGAAGGGAGGAAAACCAGGGAGAGCCCACAGCACTAGGTCCAGACTGCTTGAAGTTTTGTTAGAGAAGACCTACTCTCTCACCTTGAGGCCTCTGCCCGAGTCATTAAACTGATCGTACAGTTACAATTTATGATCTAATACAAACATTTTCTTGCCACTAATCAGTTCTAACTATAACTAAAATGTTAGTTTTACATTACACTAATCTTCAATTATCATGGAGTATACCAGCTCTGTGAGCATCAAGGTTTTCCTGTCTGGTAGGGAAACAGGATCGCCATTTTCCAAGCTGAGGTCTCAAGTCCTCTTGAATATAATTTATTTATTTTAATTATTTATTTATATATTTATTTTTATTTATCTATTTATTTATATACAAGAATTGGGTTTATGAGAGTACAGAGACTTGAAGTTTTACATTCTTTAAAAGCCACTAGCATGCATAGCGTTTCGGGCAGATCCTTAATCTAACATATAATTTTAAGAAAGTAACTTCTAGCAGAGTTAAAAAAAAAATTATAGGTACTTGGTATAAAAGTATAAAAATACATTGCAAGAAAGTATAAAAATATATTGTAAGAAGGTATAAAACCAACGTTGAATGTAATGAAACACCATTTTCTGGGTGAACCCTGGAGGCTCCCTGGAGCTTATCAGGTTAATGTATGTTATATTGGACCGGGACATTAGCTATGGGGTTCAGACCTACCAGGGACCAGTGCCAGAACCTGGCCCCTTCAGAGAGGTTGCTGGGAGCAATGGCCCTGGAAAACCCCCTTGTGGTTGGGGTTTTTCCTTATCTGCCATCGTCTGGGGTTAGGCACCCAGAAAGGTTGGCATAACAAAACAAATCCCACAGGGTAAAAAACTGACAACAAAAACCGAACAGAGAGGTAGAACTTCCTACAATCCCAAGGAAACAAGCAAACAAGCAAACGTATCACACTACTGCCGTGCCGCTCGTCCGTGCCACTCTTCCGCGCAGCCCTCTCCTCCCCCAAGAAGGGGGGGGGGTGCCCGGACCTCACCGTGCCGGCTACATAGCACTCCACTTCGGAAGCTAAGCTTCAACAAATGCGAAAAAATCTCCAACCAGCAGGAGGGAGGGTTGCCAGGGAGCTTCTGGGGCTCACCCAGAAAATGCTGTTTCATTACATTCAATGCTGGTTTTCTGTGGGGAGCCCGTATGGCTCCCTGGAGCTTCATACCCAAAGAGAAGGAAAAGGAAGAGCTGACCTGGGAGGCGGCTGCCACAAACTCTGCAACGCGAAGTCGAGACAACAGGCCCAAAGCAACACCAGAACGCCCAGGAGCAGACATGCTCACAAAATAGCGGACGGCCAGGAACCTGTACAACCTTCAAATCCCTGAGTCCGAAATAAGCCCAAGACATGTTACCAATTACGGCAGTGAAAGTTGCAAACGTTCGAACAGCACGAGAGTGAGAATAGACCACATGCAGGCTAGACTTAACCCTGCGGTCGACCTGGGAGACCTGAGCCTTGGAACAGGAAACGAGGGAAACCGGATCAACCCAAAGTGCATCCCCAGCCACGGCACGCAGGTAACGGCGAAGAGCCGCAACCAGACATAACACATGACGTACCCCCGGCCGAACCAGTCAAGCATCAATAACACAAGGACCCCCTTAGGAAAGCAGCCATCTTGGCCTTCACCAGAAAAGACGGAGAAGGCTGCAAACGTACACACCATTGTATTTCAAAATGGTATCAAGATTACACAATAACGAATGTACAAGCCTTCTCCAGAGATCTCGTTGATACGATTACTACCTACTATGACACATGGGTGTGTTGGGGAACAAGTCGTAAGCCTAGCAGAAGTGGGCAACACCTACCACCACCCAAGTGGGTCCTTGACCCCGTATTTGTTAAAGAACATGAACGAGTAAAGCAAATTGGAGATACGTACAAACGAACCAAAGCACAAGGTGACTTGCATGCATTTCTAGTTGCAAATAGAGAGGTGAGAGACATGAGCAACGTTATACGTAATAAACATTGGGAAGAGTTCCTACAAAGTATAAATGAGCAAACAACACTTGTTGAAGTTTGGGAAAAGATACAAAAAATCTCTAGAAGCAGCCCAACCAAACTGCTGCACCACAGCCCACTAGAACAAGCAAACATCCTCCTTGATCAATGGGCACTAACATCGCGCTATGACTCACTCCCAATTAACATACAGCACAAATTTAATGACACACGCCCCAACAGACAACGAACCATCAATCTTGCCTGTACAGCTATCGACGTGTCGGACCTTAATGATGTAACTGAATGGGAATTAAATCATGCACTAAAGATGGGAAAATCAACTGCTCCTGGAGAGGATGGTATTACTTACAGAGTACTGAGATTAGTCTCACACGCACCAGGTAATCCATTATTAGTGTTGTACAGAATAAGTTTACGTGAAGGAGTATTACCTGATGCTTGGACAAAGAGTGTCATTGTTCCCATCCCCAAACCACACTCAGATAATTATAGACCCATATCTCTAACAGTGTGTGTTTGCAAAGTGCTTGAACGTATTGTTCTTAACCGACTCATGTATCGTATATAGGGGCACCTGTCACCCCAACTGTTTGGATTTATGCCTGGGCTCAGTACACAACACTGTTTTGCTGAGTACTTCGCACATATTGAAGCTTCCCCTCAAACAGTCTTCATCGACCTAGCAGCAGCTTTTGATACAGCAAACAGAGAAATCATACTGGAACAGCTTTGCCGAGCTAGGAATACAAGGAAAATTACTGAAATGGATAAATTGCTATTTGTCTAATCGAACAGCATATGTTTTGTTTAATGGTGTTAAAAGCACAGAGAGCAAACACTTTGAACTGGGAACTCCACAAGGAGGGGTCCTCAGCCCCTTGTTGTTCAACGTTCTGATGCATGAACTTATTAAAGATCTTCCAACTAATAATGAAGACACTGTCATTTGTTATGCTGATGATATATGTTTACAGGCTGCCTCCGAGCCTAGAATGCAAGTTCTGCTCGACGCTTTTGCTACTAGAGCTGAGGAATGTGGCCTCCTTATCTCTGTACAGAAAACTCGTGCCCTCATTCCATGTGGTATTCCACCACCCAATTATCATATAGATGGGCGAGCACTTGAGAACTGCGAGTCTTACAGATACCTTGGTGTCCCCATTAACGACCCTGGGTACCTTTCTTCTCTCAAGAGGAGACTTTGGGAGAGATTAAAGCCCTTGCAGGTCCTTGTTGGTGTCAATCATGGACTTAACGTGAGACTTGCTAAAATGTTTTATGTATCATTTATACGCTCTGTGATTGACTACAATGCTCTACATCTCACACTGTATACTGACAAAGAGCTGAAATCTCATGAAACCTTGCAAAATGAAGCTATGCGTCTCATCCTTGGGGCTCCAAAGTCCACGAGAATTGTTAATATGAGAGCAGAGTTAAAATTACCTACCATAAGTGAGAGAATTTTGTCTATTAGCACAGTTTTCGGCGTGAAGGCATTGAGTAGATCTAGACAACACATGAAGTTTCAAGCTAAACTTTCTAATATGCTGCACTCACCTGAGGTCTATAGAAGAAGAACGAAATCTGATTATGTATATTGGTTCTACAAGGTAGCCAACTCCATCAAAATATTAAATATGTACCCAGCTCAACTAATGATTAATCAGCCAATTACTCCATGGGATATCTGGGATCTATCAGTTGATTTTGTAAATGCACCCAAGAAAGATAGTGTGCACACTACATTATTAAAACAGTTAACACTGAAAAGCATCACTGAAAGTACTCAGAGTATGGGTAACGATGTGTATCAGTGCTATACCGACAGCTCTGTAGAG